GCCTATTGCAACCAGTAGTAATTATAGTGAAATAGTGGTTGCTAGTATGGAATTGGTTAGGTAAAAGCAACCTGTCTGGACAACACTTGCTACAGAGTGTGATCTTGTAAAAACAAGGTAAGGGTCCCTGAAAGATAGAAATACTCACCCCCTCTGGATAATCTAGCAGAAATAGTTAAGATAGCTATAGAGGGTAGGCAAAAAAACCCTCAGATGAAGAGACTGCCAGATCAGGCAAATAATTTGAGATAAAAGTATTGAAGGGGGGTCTACATACCCATCCGCACAGTGACCTCCAGCAGGCAATTCAACTGGGCTGCTAAGGGCATAGAAAAGAGAAATCTGATTAGATGTGACTCACAGAAGATACCTCACCTTCAAAAAGAGCCCAGAATAAAGTGTTGTCTAGCATCTCTAAAGGTATAAGTTCAGGCAACAAAACCTTCAAGATTCTCACTGAACATGACCAAGATCGAAATCTGAATGGACATAAAGAAAAGGAGTGAGCAGATGAACCAGAGAAAAGGACTGAACCCCTTCCCTACCTGACAGAGTGCTGAGTAAGAAGAACTGGTCTGAGAAGGAGTGAGCAGATGAATCAGAGAAAACGATTGAACCCCTTCCCTACCCGACAAAAGTGCTGTGTAAGAAGAACTGGTCTGAGGGCACAGAGAGAATGAGAAAGTGGTCTGTGGACAAACAGCACAAATCACTCTGACCGGTGATGTCTGTAGGTCAGCAGTCATGAAAATTAAACTTACAGGTAAAGTGGATACATGGCATATGAGATTCAGGTCACAAATATAGCCGTAGAGAAAGAATATGTAACCTGAATCTACCTGTTAGGTAACTGAAATAGTCATTTGTGACCAGTTATGCGGAACAATGTGAAAAAACCTGGATGGTACTGGGGACTCAAAAATATGTAGTTGTGATAATCGATTGGTAGGCAATAAGGCCACCATAAACAATGGCGATTGTGGAAGATGCAAAACTCTGTCAAAGAGCCAAGTCAAAAAAACGATTTATGGTTTACACCACTGACTGAAAAGGGTTCATCCTCCTCTCAATACACCATTGCTGATATGCATGTTATTACCTTTAAGAAAAGTGACTTTTGGACTAAGCAGAAACTGAGCCAGATACATGTCAACCGTAGAAATTAAATCCCAATGCCGTGTGAAAGATAGAATAACCTCTATGCTAGAAGCTTGAGTTTCTGAATAGCTGGATGTACCACATCCGATCATGGTTGCCTCTACAGAAAGAGCCTAAAAAGGAAGTGGAAGAGTTGGAAGGGACCCCAGAAGCAGAACCGGGGTATAACCTCCAATCTGGTGCGATCAACAGGATCTTATAATGTGTTGGAACAAATTATATTTCATACCCTGCGGAACATGTGACGTGGAGAGAAGGTTGAGAGTGATAATCCTGTCCTGTCCAGAAGGAAAACATCTGTTGCCAAGGCCCAAAAATGGGATACTGGAGACCAAATTGCCAGTAGTTGGGTATTCCAATGAGAGGCCAATCCACCAATTAGAGTTGAAAAATGGGAGGCAATCCAACTGTACCTTGCAATGCAACATCTATTCTATTGGGAGAATCTGTTTCGATTGAGACAATAGACCTGCTACCACAGGCATTACCCTTGGAATATGGCAAGCTAGTAGGGTAATAAGATAAGACTAGCCCTGAAAAAGGAGGTCCAAAATTCGAAAATAAGAAGCCCTAGACTACATGCCTGCTTGATAAGAAACATAAGACACCACCACGGAATAGTCAGAGTGAAGCCTGACGATTTATCCCTTAAGGAGCTCAGACAATGAGACCTTTCCTGTTGAAAAGCAAGAAAGGATGAAAACATTGCGTAGAGAATCCTTGTCATCTGTGCATAGCCTCTGGAAAACCTGACTATTGGTATATGTATTCCAACCCTGAAGTAAGGTAATCGTGAAGAGAATGTAACTCTGGACGAGGCAGCAGTAAAGGAACCAAAGTTGTAGTACCATCCTGACATCGATGAATGATCCAGACTAAGGAAACTGGGGAAATCAGGAAATAGAGGTGTACAATCCTTGTTCGCATAAAGACCATTAAAAGGATCTTGTGTTCTCGTCCTGAAGGCATGAAGGATTTGAGTGATGCCCACATTCCCAAAAGAGAAAGAACCATCCATGCAGTCGGAGAAGGAGAGGTGAGTAAGAGTGTGGATTCATACTGGAATGGGAGCTCGACTCAGAGATGAGATGAAAAATAAAAAATATCCAGACTGATAATATATTGAATTGGAGTAAGAATAGATGTCACAGTCCCAAAAGAGATGCCTTCCTGGGATGTATGTGAAAGGAAAATCAGGATGTGATGGTTAACAATTGACAAGATGTTGCCAGCAGTAATCAGTCATCCATGGACTGGTGTGTGTACAGTACAATGGAGTGAAGGGGATGAGTAAACTTGTATGATACAACAGAACCCATGTTAAGCCTATGTAAGACCAAAGTACCTGACTCTTGTGCACCACAAATGGTGATAGCAGTGGGACTCCACCAGTAAGGTAAAGTGCAGATAGTAGCTGACTATCACTCACAATTGCAGCCTCAGAGCCCCCCAGAGGAACACCACATAACTGAATATATATGTATGTCTCCACTATGAATAAGATCACTGACAATCTCAACTAAGAGTGCCCCCCCCCTCC